TAGATATGGGAAAGGAGACTCGAGTTGAAGAATTCATGTTTGCATTTGTCTCCGTGCAAACGTGTAAAAAGGGAAAACGTGGCTCTACAAATAAGAAAATAAAGACAGAAGAAAACTTATTTTCGATTTTCTTCACATTTTTCAAAAATGGAGATATCTACTCATCCAAAAGAACTCAGCGAAGAGAACGTTGAAAAATGGCTCGAAGATTTCTTGCCGAAAATCAAGAGAGAAACAACGAGGAATGATAAGGATCGTCTACTTTTATCAGTCAACGAGATCGATTTCAGAACACAGAAGCATAAAGAAATAAAAGATAAGGGAGGCAACTGGACGCATGTTTCTTTCAAGGACAAGTATGCATACATCTTCTACTTAGATAGATATGAAGAGGAAAAAAAGGAAAAATTTATCCAAACACAGTTTCAGCGAGATATTATCATTTCAAATCGGGATCTTAGAAGAGTGAAAATCGCACGATCTGAGCTGAACGACGAACGAGGAGCATGGTTTTTGGAAAAATCGATATCAAAAGACCTGATTTCTTTTGGTGGGGAAGCGATCGTATTGAGCCAAAAAATCGGGGATCTACCAGTTGCGGTTAGAATTCAGGCAATATATTATGAAAAGATTAATTGATTAAATCTGATTTCAGGTCTATGATCCCGCATTGTTTTGCAATCAACGGTCTTTTTTTCAAAAAATATACTATTCTAAAGGTAAATTTCTTGAAAAAAAAAAGAATTTATATATGAGTCAAGATTATCAAATTGCCGAGCATTTGAACCATGAAAAACTAATTCCCTTTCATGAAAATGTCATCAAAAACTTTGTGAATATTGAGCTCTACGACGAATCATTTTCATCTTGTCTTGGCTCAATCACAATTATGGAGAAGGGTGATCAATGTTTGAGACCTTTGCTAAAAGAAAACTCATTGTCGCTAGAAGAGCGAAAAATCATTTCGATCGGAGTTAAAAAAGGGGCCGAATATCTTGCAAAAATTGGCATTTATCACCGTGATCTGAAGCCCGAAAACATTATCCTGATAAAAGGGGTAGCTAAAATAATTGATTTTGGTGTTAGTGAAGAGCGATCTGGGCGGTCAAGTTTCCGAGAAATGGGCTATTCACGAGTTGGACTGAGAATAAGAAGTAGAAAAAACTTCTGTAAGCTTCCAATAAGACTATTCTAACTAAGTTTAATTTAGATTCTGGATCACCTGGATTTTGTACCTCGGAGCAACTTTTATCTGATTATGATTATGGTTACTTCGATGGTGAGAAAACCTTGATTACACTTATTCTATGCGAATGGAAAACAGCTTGGACTTTATTGTATCAACCTATTGAAAGCGATGAAAGTTTGAAGATGTTCAGATCAAGCGATACATACATATTACTAAACGACCCCAAGGAAGAAGAAATAATGAAATTAACTGCTATAATTAAAGTTACAGAAGCATCCGGCTATCTTTGCTTGAATGACGGAAACTTGACAAAATCGATTAATGTGCACTATCTGAAAAATTCCCTCACGAAAACGATGAAAGCAGGTTTTCGGAACTTGACGAAAAATGTTATGAAGCAGAAGGAATCAAATTTATGTGTGCCAATTGCGGTCACAAGTCTTATTCGATGGGCAATACAAAATGATGTTAAGGACGACCTCTCGCAATATCGTTTGGAAAGGTTGTCATTTGACAAAATATTTGTCATTTTGACAATGGTTCTTTACCCTCGAAGTTTGGCCGGACTAAACTTGAATCCGAATCTGAATGAAACTGATTATCAAAAGAATGAAATTGAATTGCTTCTCAAAAGAGTTCAGTATCCAACATTTCTTTCAGATAGCGGATGGGATATTATATCACCGCCATTGTTTTCATGGAAATTTGGGTACAAAAAAATTCTTCTTCATGAAAATGGTAGTATGTGGTAATTCGTCGGGGTCGCCCCGACAAATGAAAGATGAAATAACAGTCATTCGTCGGGGTCGATCCCGACACATTGAAGATCAAAAATACACCAATTCGTCGGGGTCGAACAATTGAAATACGACGAATATGAGTATTTCTAAGCAGTGATTCGCCGGGTTTTATTTTAAAAATCATTGAAAAAGGTCGAAGAGTCCTAGCGCCCTACTATTTGGCAGGAACTTATAGAATCTAAGTATCCCTTACCTGGGGGCTCCGCCCCCTAGGTCCTAAAATGCCGGGGTCTAGTCTAGGGTTACTTAGGGTTACCTTCAGTAACCCTAACTAACCCTAGCCTATCCCCCTCGGGCGAGTTTGTTCTGTCATTTTGCCCAGTGCCCCCTAACCCTAACCTAAAATTATAGAAAGTACTTTTAGCTAAAATCAGTCTTACTTTGGCAGCAGTAAAGAATATATAACATACCCCCCCCCCAAGTTTTCGCGCATTCCTCGGTACATTTTCCGTAATTTACTCTTCCTGATTTGTTCAAAACCCCCCAAATTTACGCCGCTTAACTTTTCCGCGCGCCCCGAAAATTTCTTCTCCTAACTTTTCTGCGTGCGCCCAAATTTACTCTCGCGGCGCTGATTCGCCTCATCGATTAATTTTCTGAGTGCGCAAAAGTCTTGTTTAGCTCGCTCCGGGCAATGAAAGGATTATCTTTTATAAAAAGCCAGATGCCTTAATAGGTCAGCCCTATTTTATGTTATTTTTGATAAAATTATTGTTTATTATTTCAATGAAGTTAATAAATATTTGATAGAACGTTTTTCTAGTGCGAAAGATGAAAACGACATCTGTGGAGCAAAATCCTGACCTCAATATTTTAAGTTACTCGAATGGTACGATTTTTATGTGTCCAAGCCACGAAAAAGTTCCAATTCTAGCGCCTCAAGTACCTGAAAACCAACTGTATTCGACTGCTTTTCTGTTAATACAACTTTGAAAACATGCACTAATAAATAAGTATTACTAGAAATAATGATATTCTGTCATAACTTAGTATTTGTTTGTTGATTGCAATTAACTGAAAGGAAAATTTTATTAAACAATGATTAAACATACAATGTCGCATTACTTTGAGGAAGTTTATCCATCATATTTACGTATGATTATCTCTTCCGGCTATTTTTGAACCGGTTGAGGCACACACGGGTGGCGCCCGAGCGCTCCGTCCCCGTCGGGCAATATCTTGCTCTTCAAATTTCGCTATAATTTTTAATAATTTATGACTATTTATTTTTAAATTATGGCCTTTGTATTTAATGGCAAGAAACCGGACAAAAAAAACCGGTAAAGAAAAGAAGCCGAGAAAGAAAAGAGGGCCCTACGGAAGTTCGTCGACTTTGAAAGAGAGAGCGGATGCATTGAAAATCATCGTCGCAAGAAAGGATGCAGGAGAATCGTAAGTTGTTAGATTTTTTAATATTTTCTTTAATCTTGCACTATTTTTACTAATGAAAGATTATCATAAAATGAAACTAAAGTCGTAATCGTAAGTTACAAATACCTGCCCAATGCCCTTTTAAACAATCATCAAAAAATCACAAAAATTCCATCAAGGAAATTAATGGTGATGAGTCGACACCCTTAAATGCCTTCTTCAAAATAATCTTTATCGGTTTTTAACAAAATTTATTAACAAAGTTTATAATGGAAACAGTTTCATAATCGATCTTTATATACGGCTTTCCTCGGCGCATGCTTTCCAAATCCGATTCTACAACTTCAAGGCGTTCTGATTAAGAATTGCGCGAATTTGTTTGATCCTCTGAGGCCGTAATGGTGGGCGCTTACGTGGACGAGTGGTGCTTGAAGGTTGTGTCGGAGGGGCCCCAGGGATCAAGATCGCCGTTAGAGAAGATCGTGTTCGAAGTAGCTTCCAGGTTGTCGGCCCAGTATTTGATTCTAAACCGATGTTAGGGACGAATAGTAAAGAAAACAAATATCCGCCGTTTCTATTGCGTGAAAATACACGACTCGCGGATTCTTTTAAAATTTCAAACTTTTACACTTTAGCTCAACATTGCGGAATAGCTTCTTTGGATCATAGTCAAGCTCGTCCGCTGGTGGAAGGCTTGTTTTGCTTTTTATACAAGCTCGAAAATAAACAGGGAAAAGATTGTTTCTTTTAAAACTCTTTCCTGTCAGTTTTGTAGATTGGAAGAAGAGAGCTTAAGGAGGTGCTTTGTTAGAATTTCGTTAAGCTTTTACCAAAGGGGGAGGACTTACGGCTTATCTTCAAGTTCTTCTTCGAGCCCCTGCTCAAGAATTTGGCGCGGATTAGGTAACGATGATTTGGACTGGGGAATGAAGACTTTGTTTTTCAGGAAATCTTGGAATCGCTCAGCGTATAAGCCAGGCCGCACCACTAGAATTGACGTTTTTTGAATTGATTTTTTTTATGAAAAGAAGACCTGAAATCCCGTCGCCATTTGTGTAAAGATTTTTGATGAAATATTCCGTTTTCTTGAGAATTTTGTGGCACTGGAGGATGTCGATAATTCCACAATAAATATGAACTTGTGTGCCGTCGGGAAGTAGTGCAGGCAAGCCCTAGTTCTGGTCGACTTTGTGCTGAGAGAGTTGAAGATTCACTTGCGAGTCAGTGAAGACCTGCTCCATTGGCGACGAGTATAAGGCAGAGCGCTATAACGAAAATGAGGATGGGTCAATAAGAATGCTCAAATAAGTCCTCCGACTAATAAGGAACCCGGATTTCAAAGCCAAGGCATGAAAAAGATTGAAATTCATAGATTAAATACAATCGGGGTTCTGATGGGCTGGAGGCTTTTTTTGAGCATTTTTATTCGTCCAAAAAGAACTGTCTGAACGAAGTTTTAGGAAGATAGACTTACTTTGTGAAAGGATTTCTTGTTTCGTTTTCTTTTGACCAGAGAGCTCTTGCCTGAGTTGCCTCTGGAATTACTCGCGCTCAAGCTCATCGACTCCATACTAGCAATCTCCGTTGTAGAAGTTCTTGAGGATAATTTAGTTTCTCGCCTCGATTAATTGGTTTACCTTAATAGCAGCTCCAGAAGCAGTTTCGAGCTGGATGTCATTTGTTCCATTGGAAAGTGATTTCTCGTTGATGATGATTTCCATGTCTTCAGAGTCGGTCAACAGCGTCAAGTCTCATCCAAAAGTTATTAGTGTTGAAAATCTAATGGAGGATAGAGTGAATGTTTATCGGAAGAATTGATCCTACCTTGAACTTGGAGACAGATTTGAATTTGTCAACGTGCTCTTTTGGGACTTGGGCGATTTCCAAAAGTCTTCGTAGTCAATCAAGGTACCTCGCTAAAGATTTTCATGCAGTGCTTGTTGTCTGGGTTGACATGTGGGCGAGGATGTTCATGTCGACGGTTGCGCCAAGATTGTCGATGCTGGAAAGGAAGATTTAAAAGTGACGATTAGTCCTGAGACTTAAACCAAATTCGCTTATTATTACTTTGCCCTGCTTTATGAGCTCTTCAATCAAACCAGAGTCGTAAAGGGCCATGTAGATGTCACCGTGGGTACCATCCTTGAGGTTGTAGAGATCCTTGGTGGGGACGGGGAGAAGGGTTTCTTTGTTGATTCGTTGGAAGCTGGTTGAACATTTTGATGTCGACCTGGCAGTTGTTGTTCTTTCGGAGGATCTTTCGGGTGTCTTCTTCGGTGTTGAAGGAGTTCATCAAAACCAAGGGGACGTTGGTCTCGTAGGTCTTGTTCAAGTGCTCGATTTGCTGAACAGTCAAGTCCAAAAAGTTCAATCCAGATCTGACGGAAATGATCGACTTGGGACAAGTGAAGCCCGTGGAAGTACCGCGACCACCATTGAGCTTGATGACGACCACTTTCGTTTTTCCAACGATCAGAGCCTTAAAATTACGTTAAGATATGTCCAGATTGGCAATGACCTTGGTATACACAAAGACAAAGTACGATATTGGTATGATCACAAGGACAAGACATACGCGAGCCTCGAAGTGCATGGAACTGAAGACAATCGACAAGTTTATAACGCTGGAAGAATTGATTTCGAGAAGTAGTAGCCTAATAACAATTCTCTAATTAATTCTTATAACTTTAGAACCATCCATTTCTCTCTTGCTGACAAAGAGGATGACATCATCGAAGAAGCTGAACTCACGAACATTTCCCGCAGAGCCTTAGATGCTGACAATGGAAAAGTTTTACGTCCATTAGACTGTTTCAGAGCTAGAGTAAACAACCATGCAATTCAATATGGAAAAACCTGTCCTGAGGAGTACAAAAACAACAGTCGAACATATTCAAGTACTTATTTAGTTGGTAATAAGTGACCTACCTTTTAAATATTAACCAAAATTAAGGCAATACCGGAAAAAACCGAAGAGGAAGTACTGTTTCATTAGTCAAACGACTTGGCTTTGGGATGGAAAAACAAACGGAGCAAAAGAAACCAATCGAATTTTCTAAACTTGCCGGTCATACAGCTGAACTTGTCGATAAAATTAATAATCGTAACCCGTCAGGAACGGCTTCATTTACTCTTATTGTAATGTTAAAAATACAAAATGAAACCTTTAAAAGATGTTATGAATATAGACGAGAAGAAAGTAGAGCTACAACGTGCACATTCCAAAGGATGGGGCTCCAAGAAGGTGAATTGGAATAGAAAGCAGCTCGGAAACAAGCGTATCGGAGCGACGAGCCTTACTGCGATTGCTGCTGATGGTTCAAGAAGATGGTCAACAGGAAATTTTATAAATATTAATCTTAAAGATAAACCTTTTTAGTAGCTTCGGCAGTTCTAGTTTTCTCCAACCAGTCGTTGAATTCTTTTTTGTCGTCTTCAGCTTTTTGCATCGCTCTCTCCGAGTAGTTGTTGATTTTGATCAGATTTTCCTTCTTCTCGGCTGCTTTTAACGACTTTTTCCATTCATACCGGATCATCTAAAATTTTTCTTTTATAAAATTTATAAAAAATATCAAGTAATCGTGGCGAATATCCCGAAGGAGCTCACTAAAGTCGCCAAAAAACAGCTGATCTACAAGACGGAGAATTTTTCATATTATTATATGAATATCGTTACGATGACGTGTGATGGCCCGAAGGATCTACATCTATACACAAGTAGCAAGGCTTCGATGACCAATGTGATTTGGACGCACATGATCACGAGATGGAATGCTGAACTGGTGGAAGATAATCAGCACATTTTACTTTTATTGGGTTCTTTATCTTATTAAAAAAATAATGAATTATTAAAACTATTTAAGACAACGCGTCCCAGCACGGCTTCTTGAAAGGAATGGACGCTGAGCATTCCAACATCGAAATGGCCTTTCTGCTGGCTAATTCCACTGATCTCTGTCAGGTAATTTTTCCGAAGATGAGTGGTAAGAGATTGAGTGAGCTTTGGTACTGACGTGAATGGAGCTAAATCTAAATGACAAATTGCCTAATTTATGAAATGAACAATTTTCTAACTCGAAATTCAAAACTTCAATTTTAATTAATGGCTTCGAAAAATAGAAATTGGAAAAACCGGAGCTGAGATAAAATGAGACTAAAACTGGAGCCAGCCGAAGGTACTGTATTCGAAGATAGGCCGGAAAAAAGGAAAATAGGTTTTGGAAAACAACAAGACGGATATTCATAAAGAGACGAGTAAATCTGTAAATGTTTGGTTATTTTTGTATGTATTAATTGTATCGTTCCTTTTTCAGCGATCGTGAGTTAGGCTTTATGGGGAATAATGAAGATAGTGATGGGTTCAATAAATGTCTTAATTTGTCGATAAACAAGATTCAAGCGCACAAAGGAACAAAGGATTTTGTACAAAAATGCAAAGAGAGTAAGCTTTTAGTTGATAAAAGTTGCAAACAAATTGAAATTGAAAATTGGTAAAATAAGAAAAAGAATCTTCGCTTGAAAATGGAGCTGAATTCGAAGGTTTCCGAAGAATGGTCGTGCGGGCGGAGCAGCGGGTGGTCATCTCGAGCTTTTTTGAGAACGAGAGTGTTAACTTGTTGCAGCTTCGAGGATCTGGCAGTCGGAGCAGACGAACTTCGGGTCGTCGCGGACGTCTTTCGGGTTAACGTTGAGGCAGAACATGTGGTACCATTTTGCGCAGCGCTCGAAATAGACCCGCTCGAATTTGTTGCCGTCTGGACGCTTGCATTGGCCTAAAAATGCGTGAAAACACAAAAACTTTATCCATCTTACCAGCAACGCAAGGTCCATCATCGTCAACATCCTCGTCGTCGTCCTCGTTTTCACTCGTTTCTTGTTGAAATTGAGTCCGAGCTCCTTTGTTTTTCTTCCGCGGATTCTGCGAGCGTCGTGGGAGATCGGAATCCTTATCGCGTCGTTTACGATTCGGCGCCTTGTTTTAGAGATAAGAACATTTCAAATTTTCAAAAAAAAAACGCTTACGTCGCAGCTCATGGTGTAAGTTCCAGAAGTAGCATTTGGGAAAAGGAAGGAGTTGAACTAGAACTGAATCGCTGCAGCATCTGACTGGCCAGAAGAGCCGAACTGGAAGTCAACGATTGCATTGGGGCAGACGTTGAGGACTTCGAGGGTCGAACTTTTTCGCCTTCAATAGTGTTCAATTAAACCATATTTCATAGAAACTTACGATTATGACTAGGAAGTTGAGGGCGTAAAATGCATCCAGCAAATAGTCCAGCTAGGAATTCACTTGTACATCAATTGATGCTACCATGCTTGAGAACCTCTTTCAGGAACATTATCTAACCAAAGTTGTTCGTTGAATGATGAGATTTGGAGACTTACTAAATATTGAAAGTTGTTTTGCGATCTGAGGTCGAGCTTTTCAACGAGATTTTTACAAAGCCTCACGTGGTCCACGATGACAAGGCAAATTTCAAAATGCGAACATAAGATTATTGGGAAGGGATTCGAATTGTGGAAGAGCAACAATACTTCTGCCACGGAAGCAACTGAACCTGGAAGTGTCTCGATCTAAAAGTAGTTTTCTGTAAATCCATGGTTGACGATGTGATTCAGTAAAACGTAGAAAGCAGGTTGAAATTCTGCTCCCTCATCGAAGCATCGTTTGAGGCATTCTTTTCTGAGAAAAAATGTTGAGGGTCTCGAATTTATCTTGAAAGTACCTAATTGATTGAGAACTAGAGAAGTCGCAGGATATAAAGGAAGCTTTTTTGAAGAATGAATGTGTAAGAGCAATGAATGGCATTCCAAACGCCGAGTATGTTCAGTTTCCGGAAAGAGTTATGTAATGATCAGGCCCGTTTTTCAACTTGAGGATGAGAATGAGATCGTCGACGGGATTCACGAACTTGTCTCCTTGCTTCACACCGAAGTTGAACTTTGAGACGACTTCTTTATTGATGTTGAGATCGAATCCTATTGTATAAATTGAGGCATCTCCACTATCTGGCTGTAAGATTACCTGAAAATAACTTCAAATCATGGATTTTCATTGCAATTTACCTTATTTGGATCGATCCACAAGCCGATGTTTGAATTAAAAGCTTCGTAGATGTCCTTGTCCGGCGAGAACACTTTCGAATCGATGATCTGAAACTGCGCCAGCGTCTTTCCCGTATTCTGCGATCGCTCGTTCCAAAAATTTCAGCTTTCCAAAGTCGATTGCTTTGCTTGAAACAGCCTTTGCGGAATAAGCTCAATCTCGTGCTTGTCTAGCCAACTGGTAACTTCTTTGTACACGGAGTAGTAGATTTCTTTGTTGATCCTCTCGGTTCGGGCGATGAAACTGGCAAGGATTGGTTTGTGGTCAGAAATGGTTATTGAAGGATGTGAAGAATAAGACAGACATTCTACGGATTGTTGTCATTGGCACATATTGATCGCTGGTTTCTGGGAAATCATCTTGAGTAGTTGAGCTCTCGAATTTTCTTCGTTGATTTTTTCTTTCTAAATAAATTTAAGCCGGCGGATCAGGGATATCACGCAACTCTCGGCAAGTTGATGCGATCATGGGTGACAGAGCAGTACGCGAAAAATGATGAACCACCGAATCGAGCTGACGCAGTCCTCAAAGTCAATGAAGCGGTCTACTGTATTCACCCAGATTGCATCATTGGTTCTTATGCAAGAAGGAAAGTTAATTTTGCATTCAAAAGAATGTGAGAGCTATAACTTTTAGAAACAGTACCTAGTGCATTTCTCCTGATCAGTTTTCTTTCGAAAGTTCTTTGTAAGAGCCGGCAGAGTTTGAACGCATATTCTTCTTGATACAGGCAGCACTCGTTCAATTTGATCCTAAAAATGAAATTAAAAGTAATAAAAAGTGAAATTAATGATAAAAGCGGACTTCTTCACGCTGATCTCGTCAACGAGGAGAAAAACCACGTCAATCGAGAACTTCCAAAGGCCCCAGAAGAAGAAAAGGCGCGAAAAAAACGAAGAGAAGGAAAAGAATCACTCTACAAGCTCTACAGCAAAGAAGTTTTGCAAGACTTTCTTTATAAGGACCCGATTATCGAAAGCGATCGCTTTTCTTATAAAACGCGAATAGAACTGAAGGTAATTAATTTGAGAGATATTTTCTGATTTTAACTTTTTTTAGGAACCCGACATTGAATTGGAAGAGAGAGTGAAGAAGATTATTCAACTGAAAAACGCAGCAAAAGCTCGAAAATGCGCCGAAACGAAGAAAAAGAGGAAAATGGAAAGAAGTCAAACCAAGAAAAACCCGATCCCCGATGAGCCTGAAAAAGCACCAGAGGAGAAGGAAGAAGAAGTCGAATCCGAAGCCGAGGAACCAGAAAGAAAGATCCCAAGGGAGGAGCCACGGAACCGATATGTCCTGGGTCAATTGCTCACTCCAGCGGATTTCGAGAGCATCAGAGGCAATCGATGGTTTTTCAGCACAGCAGTCGACGCTTTTTTACCGTGTTCTTGAGCATGAACATCCTGAAATTGCGGCAATATCCGTGAATGTATCTGTAAGTCTATAAAATTTTTTAAAGAATAACTATTTTCTAAGATTTCTTTGGCCAGTCAATCACCGGAAATGGCGAAGAATTTTTTCAGTGGAAGATTGTTCGAGACAAAGGAAAGAATCCTGATTCCAATCCATCAATCGTAAGTTAAATAAATATCTATTTTTATGCACTAATGGACTTCTTCCTAATTAAATTTCATTCTAGTGATCCTATTGGTCATTATTCTCTACTTCAACTCGATCTTGCTCTACAGGAATGTACCTACTTTGATAGCCTTGCAAATCTCTATGGAACTTCTCAAGAAAAATCCGATGCTAAAAAAAAGAAAAAAGAAATTTTGGACTTGCTTCTACCTTTCATTGGACAACGATTTGACGAACAATTTGCCCGTGGATTCATCAAAAACACATTTCTGGACAAGAACATTGCGAGCCCGTCAACTGGAAAATGGCGATCGAAATGCGCAGAGCTACCGACAATGCAATTGGATGGACACTCCTGTGGTCCGTGGATTTGTCACTTTGCGGATTGTCTAGGAAAGCGATTTATAATTTACCTTGATTTCTTGTCGAATTCTTTTTTGATGAAAGCAGCAATGTTCTTTCGTTCCCGGAAAGTGCGTTTTTGGCCTTCGAGAGCTTGCTGAGAGTACTGATCCGTGAAGGTGTAGAAGCTGGATGTGTGGAACTCGCGGAAGATGAACGTCTTTTTTTTACAAATTTGCCGTCTAGATCTTTCAGTCAGATTAGACTTACTAAGCCAGTCTTTAATTGATTCAAAAATGAGCAGTTCTTGCTTTTATACCTCGCTGAATTGATAGCCCCGTTTTCTCGGAGATAGCGAGTGATGTTGTGCGAAGTCGCGTTTTGGGAGCTCTTCTTCAAGTGAATAAAGGGATTTGACAGGAAAAAGCTTAGAATGTTGATGTCATGCCACTAAAAAGGGTAAACAGACTAATAGATTAAGAGAAATGGCTGGAATATTTTTAGACAGTTGTTTGAGTTTTCAGAATATCACGCGGAAACATTCCTACAGAAAGACAAATCAATAACGAGCGAAATAAATATAGTGGTCGATGATTAACGGAGAATATCTATTGCGAGACAAAGGTGCGGCAGAACGAGTCGTAAATAAAATAGGTGGTGGTCTAAACTTTGAAGTTCGTATGTGCGATAAGAACTTCGGGTGGCCTAAACTTTGATCGTTCCCATGTGTGGCTCTTTGAGAAAGTGGCCTAAACTTTGAATTTCCCCGGAGGCGCTTCTGCCATCGGTGACTAGAGCTCTGCCTGCTAAGGCCACTACGCTTTAATCAGACCAATTAGGTTTACGGTTTTCATTCAGGGTGATGACACATGGAACTAGTCAGAGCGCCTCAGGGGAAATTCAAAGTTTAGACCACTTTCACACATGGAAAGAATCAAAGATTAGGCCACTTTCTCATAGAATCACACATGGGAAGAATCAAAGTTTAGGCCACACAAAGTTCTTATCGCACGTAAGAACTTCAAAGTTTAGACCACCACCTATTTTAGTACAAGCAGCAGTGTTTTAAACAAGACTGAGTTTACATGAAGTATCCGGCATTTTTGTATAAATGATTGCTGAAGATGTGAAGAGCATTGCCCCATTCCTTATCCTCTGCAATCTTCCGCGTTTCGAGGGAATTCTCGCGCTTTGGAAACGAGTTTCGCCAGTTGTTTGCTTTTCGATGTTGCCACTCGACATGGGCGGGATGTCGATAGAAGACGGAGTAGTTTTTGCTCTTCAAAAGATTTGGGACGCAGAACCACCTCGCTCTATAAACCAAAAGTAAAAGAAGACAAACGGAAATTTTAACTTACTGTTGCGGGTGGCGTAGAGGTACTTGAAGATCGAAGCACGTCAATATTGATCGCATTCATCTTGCGCGAAATATTCTCGACTGACATTGAACGCTTCGCGACTGGGAGAACGTCTCGCCGTGTGTTCAAGTTTCTACGAAGGATTAACAATGAAGGAATTGCAAAAATTGTCATTACTTTTTGGCGAATCTTTTGGGACGCTGATATTTCCGGGAATAGCTTGGTAAGCTCCAGACGCAGTGGACAATGCGCTCATCCATCGACGTTGCTTCTCGTAGCTTTCCGCTGCAAGCAGGACATTGTCAATGATTTTATACATTCGTAGTCGATAAATTCCATAGTTTAATTGTTAGATTAGCGGGACATGAAGCTATCAATTAATTATTTAGCAAATGATCCTAGTTGGCGATTTTTACCGAGTTATTTTCCCGTGGAATCAAATGCGCAGTCTTGAACGGTGTCTGTTTGTCCTTTTAGCGTCCTCTCAAATTCGCCACTTTTAAATTCCTAAATCTAGATCGCTTTAAAATGGAGTAAAAGAGAGAAGTCGTTACTTGATTTGCGAGTCTTCGAAAGCAGTGACGAGTAGACTGAATTGAGGATGGAAAATGGTTCTGCTGAACAAGGTAGAATTCGTGGTGCGGCTGTCTGTATTCTTTTGTCGGCACAATAAAGTGAAGTGGAATCTGCTCTCTGTTCGTGTCCATTATTTCCTGAAACGGTTAATTGTTAAAAGGATAGTAAGCATCTGTTCACTTTTTTTGATTAATGAACAGAGTATTCTTTTAAAATCGCTAATTAGCTTCCAAAAGGATCTCTCCAGCCGACAGCACAGAGATATGCCAGAGTGGAGAAAAACGATTGAAGAAAGGGTAAGAATCAATAATATTTACGCTATTCTGAATAACTTATTCAATTTCTTTTAAAGATTCTCAAATACTGCCGTTGATTTACCTGCTAAGAAAACTCGCGATTTTATGTCGATTCACGCCGCAAACTCGATGTACAGCTATTGATGACGTCATTACTCCACCACCATAAACCACTGAAAATCATAAATTTTACTGTCATTCTTATCGCTTCAATAAAACAGACAATATTTAAAAATTAAAAAATAACAATGTTTAAAAAGGTAAAGGTGTATCAAAGGTCAGTGTCAGAATATATTCCAAAATGTAATTTCTCTAACTAAGTTCTGGACTTAAACTTCTACAATTGATCTTCCTCTGGAAAAAAAAAGACTGAAATCCCTTGGCTTAATTTGGCGCTATGATTGGATAACGCGCCCGTTAATGAATCATTAGCGTTGACGCGCATTTCAGCGGCGCGCGAGTAAATTTTGGCGCACGCGGAAAAGTTAGGAAAGAAATTTGGAAACGCGGGGAACGCGAGGAAGCGTAAATTTTGGGTGTTTTAGAAAAGTTAGGAAACGGAAACTTGGGCGAAATACCACGAATTGCGCGGAAATTTAGGGGGGGGGTATGTTAGTTAATAAAAATTTCGATATTTTTCGAAAAGGGATTTTCTGAAAATCATTACCTAAGAGTGATGCGAAGGTATTAGCCATAGCTAGGGAAACTCGATGAAAATTGAGCTTTTTTCTGGGCTTAGTATACCGGGAGTAGAATACCTTTTTAGAAAGCTCAGAAGCTGTGGATCATTTTGACTATTGACAGTTTTGGGTTTAGATCATGCCTTGGGGGCATTTGGAGCCTCTAAAGTGCTGAAATTCGAGTACTTTCTGAATAGGGGATGAAAAAAGTGCCCGTTGGGACCTTTCAGAGAAGGCAACCTATCTAGGATTGTAGAGCAGACTCTGACGGTTCAGAATATGTGTTAAAAACCACCGGGACCCCCCCATTCCAGAGGCTCTAGAAGCCCTTGAAGTTGAGTAAGTCACGCGAAAATCGGTACTTTTTTCATAATAAGTGCCAAATTTTTATTTTCTCTATCTGCAATTGATTTAAAAACGTTTAAATGGACTTAATGATGTTCAAAAATGCATTACTGGTCGTTCTAGCTCACTTTGGGAAGCTTTTTAAACAATTTTATTTTTTCTTATAATTTGACACCAAGTGACCTCAAATGACCCCGAATGCATTTTTGAACATCATAAAGTCCATTTTAACGTTTTTAAATCAATTGCAGATAGAGAAAATAAAAATATGGCACTTATTATGAAGAAAGTACCGATTTTCGCTTGACTTCCTCAACTTCAAGGGCTTCTAGAGCCTCTGGAATCGGGGGGTCCCGGTGGTTTTCTACACATATTCTGAACCGTCAGAGCCTGTTCTACAATCCTAGATAGGTTGCCTTTTCTGAAAGGTCCCAACGGGCACTTTTTTCATCCCCTATTCAGAAAGTACCCGAATCTTAGCACTTTAGAGGCTCCAAATGCCCCCAGGGCATGACCTCAACCCCTACCTATCAATAGTCAAAATGATCCCCAGCTTCTGAGCTTTCTTAAAAGGTATTATACTCCCGGTTTACTTACCCCAGAAAAAAGCTCAATTTTCATCGAGTTTCCCTAGCCATAGCGAAGGTTAATCCGGAAAGACCTAAATCGAATGTCAACGAAAATCAACTCGAAGCCAGAAGTCCTACCCGGCGCAATTTCCACGTGATTCGCCTTAAAACCGCTGCAAGTGACTCCATTGAACGACAACGAAAAAGAAAGGAAGAAAACTATCATCGGTGCATTGCAGCCAACATGACCAGCAAGAGCGATCGAACTGCCAGCCACGCAAAGCCCACTCGTAGACATTATTTTTCTAACCGTTGTAGTCTTCATTTGCCGCTGGCCGACAAGGAAATCGGACACTATTCCGGAAAGAAGCGTCATGACGGGATTCAAAAGCGCTGGAATGGCAGCTAGAAACATTTTATACAAATCTGTTTAGTATTTATTCACTTACTTAGAATCGCAGCAGATTCGATGTTAAAATGAATTTGCTCGTGCAAGTAACTCGGCATGTAGCTTGACATGACAAAAATTCCATAATTTCCGGCGCCATGAGCGAGAATAATTGCCCAAACTGGAACGCTCGTCATAATACTTGCCCACGGAATTGTTAATCGTTCATTTTTCGTTCCATTTCTTTCGGAAGTTATCAGAGTGAGCTCTTCTTGTGAGATTTTTTTATGCTCTGCTGGCGTGTCGAAGCAAAAGTACCCGAGAGCTGCTGCAAATAACATCGAAACAGCACCTGTAAAGTAGAAAATGGATTGCCATCCGAGTTCTTTCGCCAGCCAGCCATCAATTGGGTAGGTCACGGCCATTCCGATTCCCGCTCCCGCAAATTGAATCGACACAAGTCGGCTAAGCTCCTTTGAAGGCGCCCAGCTCCCCCACAGACCCATGAAAACAGGGTAGATGCAGCCCTGTAAGAAACCGATGAGCACTCGAACGAAGATGAAAAATTTGACTGCAAGCGCGTCTTCCAGCTGGAGAATGACACAGGGAATAAGAGAGGTCAAGAATCCAGTGGCGAAAAATGATATCGTCAGTGTTTTAACATGTCCGTATTTTTGGCCCGCCCAGGCGCCTGGAATCTGCATAATCGTGTAACCGATGTAGTACGCGCCAAGAATCTGGCCTTTTGATTTTTCATCCCAGGCGTATCGGACTTGCTCTTCTTCGTTCTCGTGAACATCTATTGATATATTTCCGCTTATTGGTTTATATGGACAAACTGTCTTTTCTTCGATCGTAGAAGAGTTTAGAAAATTTGATCTCTCTTGAACATGGTTTATCTCGACCATCTGAACGATCGCAATCGAGACATTTCCTCGAAGAGAATAGACATTGAAGGTTGAGAAGAATGCGAAGATTGCTTTTGAAGACTTTTTTGACTGACAACTTATCAAATAAGATGAGGTTTTTTTTCAATATTTATTGCTAAAAAATGTGAAGTAACTGATCTGATTCTAACCCTAACCCTAACTATCTCATATTGAATTGTGAAGCCTCTGTTCCTAGAATATATCTCTTTGGCAAGGATCCCATTGTCTCTACTGGAAGGATTCGCGTTTCAAAAGTACGTTTACGAAGGTAGTTGCTCCCTCTAACAAGGTATGTCGAAGCAGATCTTATCAAGATAATGACAGAGGCATTGATCAATGGCAAATTCCCGTGGAGGGAACTTTTGGTGTGCCTTCAAGTCAATCCGCTGTCCTATCAATCCGAAAAGGCTAAGAACCACATGAGTTGTTCTTTTTGTTGAGATATACAACAGTTTTGATTAAGAGATTTTGACATCGAACCTTGTTCAAGTCTCGAGTCGTCAAAAGCGAGCTGACAAAAATATGCTTTGTAATTTTAAAAGAGAAAAGTTGGCGAAGAACGCGAGTTTATTAGTCTACTACTTGGTTTTTTTCTTTATTGGGTTCGATCTGACTATACACTTACCAGGACTGTATAGCTATCTTATTTTCATCGGCTCAGATGGAGCTTATTTTTCGGAAAGGTTAAAAAACTTTAAGCGTTTAGCGTTAATCCAGTTACCTTTTTTAACTTATAAAAAGTACACAATCGCCATGTTCGCATTTGGAACACTTATTGGTGGCCCCTTGTTCGGCTACTGTTTTGATCGATACTGGAAATTTCAAAAATTAATAACTGCTTTTGGATTATTCTGCATATTTATTGGTAGCTTCTTATTTATCTTGCAGAACGACATTGCGATTCTTTTTGGAAGATTTTTAGCAGGAATCGGCGCTGGGATAGAAGGAGGCATTGTTGGATTGATTTCAAAATCAAGCAAACCCGCTTCGAGGTCCAAGAAGATAAGTATTCTATATGGCCAAGGCGCTCAAAAAGACATTTGACGCTAATATCAGATATTTTCTAAAAGATTTTTTTTGTTGGGAGCCTTTGAAAAGACTTAAACAACTGGGAATTCTCCTTGGTCCCTTGACTTTCTCGATTTTTCTCAGCGGAATCGAAAATAAATGCTTGAAGAGAAAGTCAAAAGATAGTGAGCTTTGCATAATTGGGATCAATAATCACAATTCAACCGGATATTTTGAAATGATTTTCTCTGGAATACTCCTTCTAAGTGCTTTATTATTCGCTCAAACTCACGAAACGAAGCAAATTCAGCTGAAAACAGAAGAAACGTCGGTTTCAGAGATGAAATTTCGTCAAGTCAAACCTTTTCAAGTCATCAATGAAATTTCCGTCGTTTGTTGGTTCTCCACTATGACACTCTTTTTATTACAGTCATCGACAGAAGCGATTCTGCCTCAGTTTACAAAGTACTTTCTTGCCTTTGGTCCTGTGGAAAACTCTTATGTTTATGCAATTGCTGGAGGGAGTTCGATTTTCGGATTTGTAGGAAGATATTAAAATATTAATCCCTCCAAAGTTTTGGGGTAGGGTTATGGTTGGTTAGGGTTAGGGCTAGGGTTAGGGTTGGCCATAAAAGTTTGGACTCAAATTTTTTGAGTCAAAAGAGTTGAATTTCTAATATCTTATAAAGTTCTTGCGATGATAGTGAAATGCCTCAAACCTCGCCAAATCCTGCTAATTGGACTTTTCTCCGAGCTCTTTGTCTCGATTACTTTTATTTTCCTCCTTTTCTGGGTCGATTTTCAAGCTCCTTGGTTTATTCCAATCGCCCCAATTATTGGAAATCTCTTCAGCGGCCAAATCTTCGCAGCATGCAAATCATTTGCCCCGATTTATACTCTCAATGCTTCCCTATTCACTCTGGCCGGTAGTTTTGTCCTTATTAGTTGGAGAATTCTGAATATCGATACTGTTCAATTTCATCATCAAAAAAACGAGGGACTTGAAAACTCGGCTTACGAAGAGGAGGTTTCGATGAAGCCTTCTTCAGTCGTCACGAAAAAGAAAGTTTGTAATGATATCTGCGAAGAAAAAGTGTGAGCTGTAAACAGTGTTAGAGATACCCTGTCCTATTGATTGTCTCAAACCTGACAAGCTATTTATTCAATTATCAAAAACTAGCTCTAAAAATTAAGAATGTCGACTTATTTAGACATTCCGAACATGATCGCGAAAATGATCGTCCAAAAGACCGAAATCATTAGTGGACTTGAGTTGGAACACGTTTTGGCGGCAGTGATGAACTGGAAAGTCGGGATTGGCCTTGGCGCCACCTGGTTTTTGTTTCGCAGAATGAGAAATCGGAAAGAATATCACCATTTGAGCGAATATGAATATGGGCAGTACAAGAAGGTTCCTGAATGGCTTCCTTCAATCAACGGACGAGTTCTTCATTTCCTTGCATGGATTTGTAATACACAGGTATCGATAGATATTTAGGGATCCAGAGAACCCAATTTCGTTAAGTTTGGTGATCTTTTCATCAATGAGATCATAATGGCAGTCGTTGGCCTTCCTAAATTCAGAACGCTAAAGCTTGATGAAGCCCCAACATACTTCCCGTTTGCGCCGCATAATCTTCCCGTGGCGAGTTCTGGAGAGCCTGTCGACATTTCCGGCCTGATAAAAGCCCATCGAGAGTTAGCCCAAGACCCGAGCGAGTTTCGTTATCGATCCGCGCTCGAGTACGTGCAAGCGTATCAAAATCGCAAGTTTACGCCGACAGATATTGCTGAGCGAATCGTCGAGACGATCAAGAGAACGAATTCGAAGCTGAGAATTCTTGTTGACTGGCATCCAGAAATGATTCTTGAGCAAGCGCGAAACTCAACGACGCGATACATGTCTGGAAAAGTATTGTCCCCGCTTGATGGAACCTTTTGCGTAGTCAAGGACCTTTTTTCTGTGGTCAGCTATTGCAGAAGAGGCGGGCTTGGTTTCATCGACACAACTGAAGATACGGACGATATTATTATCAAAAAAATTCGCGAGGCTGGAATCATCATCGTCGGAATATCAAACATGACAGAGCTTGGCATGTCCGTTTTTGGTGCGAATCCTTCGCCTCATCATGGAACTTGCAGGAATCCGATCAACACCGACTACTATCCAGGAGGCAGCTCAAGTGGAACTGCAGCGGCTGTTTGCTCTGGCCTTGTCCCATTCGGAATCGGTTCCGACGGCGGAGGATCGATCAGAATGCCTTGTTGCCATACTGGCATTATTGGCCTGAAGACAACTTTTTCCAGAATCTCCTCTAATTTGTATTCAAAATCGAAGACGTGCTGTAGCACAGTTTGTACCATCGGACCCGTTGCCTCGAACATTATCGATCTTGCGCTCCTTTACCAAGTTCTAGCTGGCCCTGTCCGAGGCGACGCCTTTTCAATGGCCCAGCCAAAAGTAGAAGTGCCCCAAGAACTGACTCCTAATCTCGACGGCATCAAGATCGGCGTGGATTGGAAATGGGCCGGGCTTTCTCGCGCAGAAGTGTTCAAGAATTTCAAGCAAAAAATCGACTTTTGGCTGAGCGCGGCGCCGAAATTATTGCGATCGAAGTTCCAGAACTAAATTACATTAATACTGGTCATTTGATCTCCATTCTCTCAGAAGGATGCGACAAGGCGGCCGAGCTTATAAACAAGCAGCGGAAAATTTCTCCAGACAATGCCGTCATTTTGAATGCCGGAAGCGCGAAAGTCACAGCTACCGACTTTCTCCTAGCTGCAAAATATCGGACGAGACTGATGACCTACTTGAAGGGCTTGTTCAAGACCATCGATGTTATTGCCAATCCTACTTGCGCTCAGACTGCGGAACGAATTCTTGAAAGTGATGAATCGGGCTGCTGGAAGTTTGGAGCTACCCTCAGGTTTTCTAAGTTTTTCGGCTGCTTTATTTACATAATTTTATATTTCTCAGGTACATGATGTATGTGAAACTGGCGAATTACTCGGGTATTCCATCAATAACGGTTCCATCTGGATTTGCGCCCAACGGATTGCCAACTGGAATCATGCTTTCGGTAAATATCGAAATCATCTCTGTAAAATTAACCCTGAGTTTTAGGGAAACTGGTATTCTGAAGAAGTACTTTTCAAAATCGGCCATGTTCTTGATCTTGACCACAAACGCGAAAAACCAGAAGTTTTTACCGACCTGTTGCAGTGATATACTTGGCTCTTGCGTATATATATTTCTTGATTCAACTGGTGAAAAAGTCGTCCAACTTATACAAGCTCACTTTATTGAATGATCCTAAATGGATCTTGCACAGGGAAGAGCGCGGGAAAAGCAGCTGATTAAGGTGCGCACAGTTGATAAAGAGCGGAAGTGTGCTAATTAATCTAGGTTGCCCGGGAGATTAATTGAGGACTTTATGTCAACACACATCACCCACCCCCAGCTTTTTAGAGCTGTAGAAAGGTTAAGAAATACACACACACATTGACTGGATATATTTTGACTGGCACGAGCGGTAAAGTTTTACAGGGTAGTATAAGAGTAAAAGTTGAAGAACAGATTTCTTTGATACAGTAATATTTCGTCGTTTTCTTGTCTAAGGAGTAGTTTTCTCGTTGAAGAATTGTTCGAGGAAGTTTGCATCGTTGAAAAGGCACACACACACACAATAGAAGAACAAAGAGATTTTAAGGAAAAGTGGGTTGAGTATAAGATGTCTAGAGCTATTGATAAAAGTGATTATGATATTGAAGATTGCAATAATCAAAGCGGAGTACAGGGTTGACCAAGCGATTTACTTAACATTCTTTATCCAACATACATAAGTTGAACTGTAAAACGCTAGACCTGGCTAATTTCTAATTCTAGTGTCCGATCAGAGCAATTAACCCCCGCCTTTACCCAAAGGCCGCTCATATGGGTCGGTCAGCGTGGAGTTATTTTCCGCGATAAAAATAAGGAGTGTTAAGTGGTATCGAGGAAAGTCCGTTCTGCAACCGTTACGTATACAGAGCCAGACTTGCCGTCAACCAAGTCTCTCCCGCCCCCCTCTTTAATAAAATCGGACAAAAAAAAACTCTATTTATAACTAGTTAACCAGGCTCTCCAGAGGTAGGACTCGAAGTGGCTTGACTCCATCAAAAAAAAGAAGTTGGACGTGGGTGTGAACTTAACGGTGCTAGCTTACACAAGTGGTTGAAGATGTTTATTAATCGCTTTGTCAAGTCCGCGTACTCGCCTGCAGAACATGCAAGTGAAGAGGGTCAGGGTTAAGAAAGTAAAAAGAATAAGGATACCGTTGGAGATTAGAGATATGGATTTTGATCGAGTAAAGTTGTCGTCCACCACATCCTCCAAGTCATCGAGACGGTCCTCGACGTCATCAGCGAAGTCGTTGTGGTCAAGGTCAACGGCGCTGAAGGTGAAGTTGTTCCTTGCACCTCTAAAGTCGATCTTGGTGTTGTCAGACGTCACAATGCTTGTTTTTGGGATCTTGATGAGCTGCTGCGATCCGGAACAAAAGACTTCCTGGTCCAAGCTTGTTTCAGGGAAATATTTGAAGCCAGTGAAAGTATCGTGGGCCGATCCGATGTCGGACAAGACTGTTCTGTTTCTCAGGATTGCTTTCTCTGCCGCGTAAACGATGAGTCCATTCTTGTCGAAGGCGAATGAGCAGGTTGCTTTTGTAGCAGTTCTCCGGATGTTGCAATTCTGGACATCGCGGAGACAGGAAGCGCTTGAGATTGCTGAGTGCCGGCAGATCATGTTTTTGCGAGCGCTTAAACAGCTAAAGCGGTCAACTTCGTAAAACTCGTTCTGGATCAATGTTGCAAACGGGGCAATGTCCGGGGCGATCAGGAAGTTCTCGTCAGTTGAAGGGTCCATTGTGATGATTCCAAAGGAGTTCGCATGATACAGTCGTGTTGGCGCGGACTCGATGACTGGGAAAGAGAGCTGGATGTGGATGTCGAGAGAGTTTTCAGTGATGTTCAGCCCGTAGAGTTCAGGCTTTAATTCCTGTGGGAATTCTCTCAGCATGTTCTCACAGTATCGCTCGCACATTTCCGGTTCCAGAGCAATGCATGATCCCCAACACGCAGACGTAAAGAGTCTGTTCCATTCCACACGGCTCGGAATCAATCCTTGCTCCAGACTTGCGACTTGATAATCCATCTCCTCCATGAATTTGTCCACGGTGATCCGGGCCCAGTCCTCGAATCGAGCTTCCAACATCCGGTTATTGAGTCGGCAAATATCGTTGTCGATTCTCGCAAGCTGGTCCTGTGTTGCATTGAGATTGACTTGGACGGCGCTCTGGAGCTTCGCGAAGTTTCGTGTGAGTTTATCCAAGTTCTTTCCTTGATGAAGAGATACAGATCGAAGCTTGGCGATGTCGTTCGTATTTTTCAATTTAAGACCCAGGTTGGCTGCTGCCAGAACAAGAGCAGGAGCGCCGGCGAATCTTTTTCCCAGATGCGATTCGTGAGATCTTGCATATGCTGCTTGTGCTTTTAGCGACTGCAGTTCCAATCGAAATTTCCGTTCAATCACATCCAGTAGGGCAAAAGTTCGCTTATCGGCGAGGTTTTCCGTGCATTCCCTCCTGTCCCAACGGTTGGCTTTGTAGTGTTTGATGCAGCGGTCGACGTCGCATTGTCCGGCGTCGACTCCAGGTTCCATTCTCAGGACGTCCAGCGGAAGGGGCCGACTGATGATGATATGATGATGGCTGCGTTGTCGCGACAGGAAGAGTCTGCCAGTCTCCTCGAGGAGAATTCCCCGCTCAGCACAGTAGATTCGGCAGAGCATCGGACCAGCGCGACGGCAAGGGTGAAGAAAAGCATTTCGTAAAGGTGCACTGTCTGAAAATCGGCGAGTTAACGTTGAGTCACGGCAAAACATCTGTATGTACATGGAGAATAAATCATTTGGAACTGGGCAAGGGCAAAGGTCTCAGAAAACGGATGTTCCTTTTCAGAACGCTCCCACTTGATTCGTCTCTGATCTCATAGACATCAGGGCTGAGCTTCTTTGTGATGACGGCGGTGTTGCGGAAGGAGACATGTAACTTCTTGCACTTTCCGATCCGCATGGGTGCCCAATAGGCGACTCGCTGATCCACTTCGAGCGAGGTTCCATGAAACGGCTTGACGTGATGTGCAGCTTGTTCTTGGTACTTTCCGGCGAGAAACTGGCCAACTTGACGCAGCCATCCAGACATGTAGCCACTCCAGAGAAAGGGGTCGTCGTTGTTGTCGGGCTCAGGCCGGAGGTGAAAGAGCGGGAGTTCCATAGGGCGCCCTGTGAGTGCTTCAGAGGGACTTAACCCGCTCAGTGCTTCCGTTGGCGTATTGTTGATTGTGTGAAGGACAAAGCAGACTTGGCGGCTCCAGTCATCGCGGCTGACATTTGCCAGTCGAGCCTTCAATCCCAAGGATCTAAATTTTCTTTCGATGCGGTTGCTCTGAGCGTGAAAAGGGCTGATGTAGGCGACGCGGATGTTGAAGGCTTCCATGACGCGATCGAAAACGGCATTTCGAAACTCTTTTCCATTGTCGCAACGGAGCATGGCCCCTTGCGCGTTGTTGCTCAGCAAAACGTCGGCCAACGCAAATGCCACCGTCTCAGCCTTCTTATCCGGTAGGCATCTTCCCACAAGGTAGCGCGTGCAATCGTCCATAACTCCCAAGAAGAACCGATTTCCAAGAATATCTACTGAGCCGAAATCGGACAAATCGACATACAATTTCTGCCAAGGCTTTGTGCTTACTTCCGGCCTAGGCGGGTGGAGAGCCTTAAGTTTTGGCCGTGGCTTGGTGCGCCAACAGGTGTGGCAATCGTTGCAGACTTCATTGCATACCCGTTGAAGGCCATTGATGAAGAACTTCCGTTTCAGGATCCTCTGAAGGGCAAGTGTTCCAGGATGACCCATTTTGCAGTGGACGAAGGAGGCAATCTCGATGTGAAGCTGCTCAGGAAGGGTGATGATGTCCTTGTCGCGTGACAGAACCCATACACCCTGCTCATCAGTGGCAATTTCTCCTCTTTTCTGCATTCTTATCAGCACTGGATCGATTTCTTGGAGTCTGATGATGTCGCAGGCTCTGTAGGGCACGTCGCCGCTGATCATAACGACCTTTTGACCGGCTTCTTCCTTTGCTTTTTCTTCCTCTTTCGCCAATCGTTTCGCCCGACGCGTCTGCATCGCAAGAATTTCGAAGATTTCTGGTCCCTTTGGTCGCAGCTCGATCTTGTTGAGAAATCCCCGATCGATGTGTCCATCGGATTCGTCATGGTCGTCGTCGTTGGCGATTTCGTATGCGCGCGATAAGGCGTCGCTAGAGACGATAACAGGCTCGTTATTGGGAACATACGTTATTCCCTTAACCCTGAACCTACTCAGCCTTGCGTACAGGTTCGTTACACGCACTGGCACATCTTGCCGGAGGCGACGTTCATTCAGAACTAACTGCAGCGACTTGTGGTCAGTCAGCGCGTAGACTTGGCTCATGTAAATTTCATACTCGAAATTTTCCAAAGAGCAGACCAATCCCAGTAGTTCGAGATATCGGGACGGTAGCTTCCGCTCGCCATCAGTCAGCGCGCGCGAATAGAAACCCAACGGAAAAAGCCGCCCATTTTCGTCCCTCTGGTACAGACAAGCGCCGATTCCAGTGGTGCTGGCATCAGTTGCGATCACGAGGTCCATTGACTCGTCGCGGTGCTTGAAGGAGACAACTTGAGCGAGTGCTTCTTTGTAGCTGGAGAAGGCTTCTTCATGCTGGGATTTCCACACGAATTTTTCTTTTGAAGGCGCAGCTAACTTGAACAACGGAGACAGCAAGCGGTGGCCATCCTTGACAAAGTGGGAGTAAAAGTTGCAAAGCCCAAGAAAGCGCCTGAGAAGCTTTCGGTTCCCTGGGCGTGGAAAACGTCGGATTGGGTCAAGCTTGTCATCCAAAGGCCGTATTCCGTCTTGACTTACTTGAAATCCCAGGTACTGGAAGTCTTTCACGCCAAAGTGGCTTTTGGAGATTTTAAGCAGAAGACCGTTCTCGAGCATTATTTTCAAAAACTCGTCGACTGCCGAAAGATGCTCCTTGAAGTCCCCATGAACCAATATGATATCATCCATCAATACCGACAGTCCAGGAATGTGCGAACAGAGTCGGTCGATCACGTGAGCAAAGACGGAGGGCGAATTCATC